TGGCCCCGGATAACTATTAGCCAGGTGGTGGCCCTGCTAACCACTAGCCCGCTGTTAACCCCGCTAACCATTTGTCATCTGTTAACCCTGCTAACCACTAACCTGCTGTTATCCCCGCTAACCACTAACACACTGTTAGCCCCGCTAACCACTAGCTAGCAGTTGGCCCCATATAACTATTAGCCCGCTGTTAGCCCCGCTAACAACTAACCCGCTGTAGTTAATGGTTTTATGTGTGTCGTGGAGCATTTCTGCACATGAAGGAAACTAGTCATGCTTTTTGTTTTCTTTGGTTCAGACAACAATAATCCACAAGAGTGTTTTTACCTTGTTGACATGTTTCGGCTGCTAGCTGCAAGCCGTCCTCAGAACTGTCACCGGTGGAGTGGGTGACGTGCCAATAACATGTCAACAACGTATAAACACTCTTGTGGATTATTGTTGTCTGACCCAAAGAAAACAAAAAGCATGACTAACACTGATGAAGACAAGAAGAACTTAATACAAGTAATGAAGGAAACTAAATTAAGATGCTAATGCTAACGTTTAACCTTTGCTGGACGTACCTGGGGGGAGGGGCAGCAGCTCCACTGGGAGGCGGAGCTCCTACAGCAGGTGTGATCCTGGGGGCAGCGCGGCCCGCCCTCGCCGTCGCACGCCACGGGGGCCGAACGGGCCCCCCCACCCCGGGTTAGCGGGGTTAGCCGGTCCGGGTTAGCCTTCTTCTCACAGGTGCCGGTCTCCATGTTGCAGGCGTAGCCCTGCGGGCAGCAGTGCTCGTGGTCGGCGCAGCAGACCGCCTTGACCAGCGGGCAGCAGCCCCACTCGCCGCTCAGCAGCTTGCAGCAGGTGGCGCCGGTGGCGCAGCTGCTCTTGTTGTCGCATTTGACGTCAGCCATGTTGTCGGCCATGTTGTCGGCCATGTTGCCCGTCTCCGCCCGGGCGCTCAGTTTGCTGAACCAGGGCAGGACGCGGGGGCCCCGGGAGCAGGAGGAGCGGTGGGGCTCGCAGGTGTGTCCCGCCGGGCAGCAGTGGTTCCCGTCTCCGCAGCACACCGCCTGCAGGGAGACAGGAAGTGGATGGGAACAGGAAGTAGACAAAAACAGTAAGTAGACAGGAAGTGGATGGGAACAGGAAGTGGAAAGTTACACGGGTTGGAAAAGGTGAGTGGACAGAAACAGGAGGTAGACAGGAAGTGGACAGAAAAAGGAAGTAGACAAAAACCGTAACTAGACAGACACAGGTAGTAGACAGAAACCGGAAGAGGACAAAACTGGAAGTGGACAAAACCGGAAGTAGACAAACAGGAATTAGACAGGAAGGGGACAGAAAAAGGTGGTAGACAGAAACCGGAAGTAAACAGGAAGTGGACAGAAAAAGGAAGTATACAAAAAACGTAAGTAGAAAGGAAGTAGACAGAGACAGGAAGCAGACAGAAACAGGAAGTAGACCGGAAGTGGACAGAAAAAGGAAATGGACAGGAAGTTGACAGAAACCAGAAGTAGATAAACAGAAAGTAGACAGAAACTGTAAGTAGACAAACAGGAAGTAGATAAGTGGACAGAAAAAGGAAGTAGACAGAAACAGGAAGTAGATAAGTGGACAGAAAAAGGAAGTAGACCGAAACAGGAAGTAGACAGAAACAGGAAGTAGATAAGTGGACAGAAAAAGGAAGTAGACAGAAACAGGAAGAAGACAGAAAAAGGAAGAAGGAAGTAGACAGAAACAGGAAGAAGACAGAAAAAGGAAGAAGAAAGGAAGTTGACAGAAACTGAAAGTAGACAGGAAGTGGACAGAAAAAGGAAGTTGACAGAAACAGGAAGTGGACAGAAACAGGAAGTGGACAGAAACAGGAAGTGGACAGAAACAGGAAGTGGACAGAAACAGGAAGTGGAAGGAAACAGGCGGCGCACCGACCTTTGGAAGAGGGCAGCAGCCCCAGCGGCGGCTCGTTTCCATGAAGCAGCAGGTGGTGTCTCTGGGGCAGCTGGTCTGGGCGTCGCACATGTTCCTATCGGGCCGGGCCAAGGTCAGGGCGCCGCCCAAGGTCAGGGCGCGGCCCAAGGTCAGGGCGCGGCCCAAGGTCA